GGCATTGGAGGCGAGATATGGTAACGCTCACCTGGAACACGTCTTTCGTGCGCAGCTTAAAGATCGCGTGCAGCGCATCAACGAAAACCTGCAGCAGTGGGCTCTAGAGGTGGAGAAGCTGGTGCGAAAAGCATACCGGTCTGTACCTGCGCTCCTTGAAGGGAACCTGGTGCAGACATTCATCGACGGCATCCGCGACCTGGAAGTCAGAGCTGCTGTGAGGCTCGGGCACCACGAGACGCTTAAGGACGCCTTGGCCCATGCACTGGAGGTGGAAGCCGTGCGGCAGGATCATTGTTCCCATCGCGTCAGGGAGGTTGCAGCAGCTACAGTTCGTGACCACAATAAAGGATACAGCCCAAGGTGCTATGGCTGTGGAGAAAGGGGCCATCTTCGATCCAGCTGCCCTAAGCGAACCCTAGAAGGGGAAGGTGAACGATCTCAGAAGAGAAGTGCGGCTAACATCACAGCCCGGCAGCAGCAGGAATACGACTTTACTATCAGACATCGCAGCGGGAAATCTCATGGCAACGCAGGTGCATTGTCAAGAAGACCTTGTCCTGAAGATTGGAAACATTGTACTAGGCAAGAGAGTAAAGAAGTGGTGTCCGTGAGGATGCTCAGGACAGACCACCTCAGCAACGAGTGGAAGGACAGCCTACGACATGCACAGCAGGAAGATCCGTACATCAAGCCGATTCTGGAATGGATGAAGGCCCGTGATACCAAGCCTAAGTGGAGCGACGTCTCAGCGATGAGTTCAACTACGAAAAGCTATTGGGCCCAATGGGACAGCTTGCTGTTTCAGGATGGAGTCCTGTGCCGTAAATGGGACAATGGTCGAGGAGACAGCTGTCGTTTGCAAATGGTTGTCCCTAAAGCTAAAGTGCCGAATGTTCTACAGCTGTGCCATAAGGGTCGTTCAAGAGTCCATCTGGGAGTTAAACGAACTCTACTGAAGGTCCGAGAACAGTTTTACTGGGTCCATTATTGTGACGATGTCGAGGATTGGTGTCGTACATGTACAAGTTGTGCGGCTGTGAGGGGACCTCAGACACGTAGTAGAGGAGCATCGAAATTGTACAATGTTGGTGCACCATGGGATAGGACAGCCCTTGACATTGCGGAGCCGTTACAGAAAGGCGCAAGAGGGACTCCTAAGATCGTCCATGTGGATCGCCTGGTGCGTTATTATGGGGCCGATAATGCTCGGGACGAGCATGTCTTAGGAGGGGGCAGTGTTGCACGCCAAAGTTGACGTCATATACCCGGCACTAGCGCCATCTAGTGTCGGGGACGAGAGCGAGGGGAGCTTTCCAGAAAATGACATCAATAATCTTTCAACCGACAGCGCCATCTAGTATTGAAACGAAGAACTAAGCTTCTAGAAGCCGACACTCGAACTTTCGATGCCTTGTCGATTGGTGCGCGTATTTACTTGAATATTCTGGATGTTTCGGTGATAATGTGTATTTATAGGTGCTGCAAGATGCGAGCGGGGAAGTATTGGATTTGGCGAGACAAGCGAAGCTTCAGAGCGAAATAAAGTGAGTCAGTGTGATTAATTATTAGTGTTTTAAGTTTAATTAGTGTAAAGTGAATTAAAGTGTTAATTTAGGTAATTCTATCGGCAATTTTTATTGTCACGAACCTCAAGCTCGTAACAATATGATACATCCCTTCAAGCCAGATATGAGATTAAGAACTAGACTATTATAATAAAAAAAAAAGTTAAATTCGTTTTCCTGTTCACACAAACAGTGATCAGATTTGTCCGAAATTAGATGATTTCGTGCACGGGGCCTTAATAGTAAGCTTACAAGAACCAACAATGAACTTACACCAATGTAGAATGTAGTTCGGACCAGATGCGGCATTAATGCATTAGTCAATAAAATTAACACTAGTTTTTTTATTTCATTAAAAATATATACTTAAATTCATGAAGAAACATATGGTTTTATTTCCAGGACTAGTTGAACCTTGTTTTCCTTACATGATTCAGTCATCTTTAAATAGATCTTGCTAAGTTTTACAAATCTCATAAAGTTAAAATAAGTATTCTTAGTGCCGATATCAAAATTTTAGCCGTAAGTGCCATATTTATTAAAAAATTAATTACTTTATTTGAGCAAACAATTTTCAACAGCACTTGTAGAGAAATAAAGATTCATTCATTCCCTTAAGAGCCATAAAACCACTTAAGGGTCACTCCCGCGGATGTAGAGTCTAAAATAACGTTTTTTGTGAACAATACTCAATGCGCCATAATAGTGTCGAGTGACAAAGCCGTTCAGAGGCGCCGCGGGGTGCGCGGCGGTTATATTACATTTCTAATAACCAACATAATTTTAGCAACATTATTTCACAAAAAGGTAATATATTTCCTTTAACACAAATAATATCTACGAAATAATAACATTTAAAATAAAAATATCTTTTCTGAAATAAAAAAAATATTATGGATATATATTTTTAAAGAAACCACTTCTTATGCTCCAAAAATATGCCAAAATTAAAGTCCGATTTTGCACTTTTTGTGCATTATATACAGTACTAGTTCATTAAAAAAAATTTTATACGTGGTAGAGCCATGCTGCATTTATATTAGTAGTATAGTTGTTGCACGAATGGGTCGGCTCGACCGGGGAACGACCACACTCTCACAGAATACCAGCGTGAAATATTAGCTTAATGCTGGCTGTGTTTCGTATGGTAAGTGTAGAGAACCGGAGACGGTGTTTACTGGAAACGAGGCATTCCATCTTAGTCTCACGGGTGACAACACATCTGCATTTTCATTTGTAATCGAGGATAGATGTAGATATCTACGGTCCGCAGCAACTACTTACAATCAGGTGGACTGTGTGTTCGTTTGTCACCCTATTTTATAGAAAACATACAAAATAAAAAGGTGTATTCATTTCAACGATGAGAACCGTGGTGGCTCAGAGGAGCCCCGGTAGCTCAGATGGTTAGCTCTCGCGTTAAATTTCACAGTACGCTAGCAAACCGGATTCGATCCCCGCTGGCGTCAATGAAATTGTTAATTGCAATTTTAAGTGCTGATCTACCACGTGATCGGCGGTGAAGGAAAATATCGTGAGAAAGTCTGACTGTCTGAGAAATAAGAAAAAATATTTAGAAGACATGTGAAGTTCTCCAACACGCATAGGGGCAGCGCGGCGGACACTTCTTTGCCATAAAACCCTCTCAGAAGTGAGGTAAGGCCCAGCAGTGGGACGTAAATAGGCTGTAACTTAACTAACTTAACTATTTCAACGATGATAGTCTGAAATAATCAGCTGAACAAATTATAGCTAGGCAACAATAAAAACTAAATGGATGGATGTACATAAGTATAAAATTGAATAAATATATAACATGGGTACTCATTTCTTTAAAAGGCTCCTGGTACTTGTTCGATTTACTGTATCTACAGTACTAATTATTTACGAATGGTACTGTAGGTATCAGCAATCTTGCTCTAGGTTGAAACATAACGCAACGTTACACGATTTGCAAAACGGAAATGTACGTATAAAGTAAATCAAAAAGAATAATTTTTTTTTAAAATTCTTTTTGATTTATGAATTTTGAAAAGTGCATATAGATAAAATGTACATTAAAAAAAACCGATATAAGAAACATGTGTCTAAGGTGACCTTAAAACCACAACCTGTTTATATTAGAATAAAAAAAAATACAAATATTAAATATTAAAATAAAAATATTAAGAAGCATAGTTAAATACATGGCATATCCAAATGCCACATCTAATTTTTGCATAAATTATCGAATGAGATTGGAATCAACCAAGCTTCGTTTATCTGCTCGAGGGCGCTAGATTCTTTACAATTCTAACAATTCAACTGAATTTGAACGTGATGCACTATGGCAAACTTTAGTTCCTTTTTTCGCCACCCGCAAAACAAAGAACTAGAATTCACTACTGCGGGCGTCTCATAGATGGACACTATTGCACTTATTGCGTATTTACATTGAAATTTTGACATGTGTGTAATGCTTTATTTCGACATTAAAAGAGTGGGCAAAAATGTCCAGTACTTGGACACCCGCAGTCAACTGAGATATTTTCGTGTCCAAGGGTTAGACGTCCGCAGTTGAGAGGATAAGGAAAACGTTGAGTAAAAATTCCCCTGAAGTGCCACTTATATATTAAAAACTCTTTTATTTTTATTGAAAAAATAAATCATAATATAGTCAACTGTCTCCTATTTTGCACCATTTTAAAACCCAAAAGTGTTATGAAAGAAGTATTTTACAAATTAGTTCTAGTTGCACGACTTTATCTATCACCAGTGCGGCGTCAAAATTTTGAAATTAATTTGTAATAGTGGAGAGATTAATATTTCTTACGGAAATATTATTTAGTTTTTGTTCTAATTAGATTAGAAATACGTGGTAGAACCGTTCTGCAGCTATATTATGGTTGTAGCATGGGTCGGCTCGACGGTGGAAAGACGCTCTCACAGAATACCAGCGTAAAATAGCTAGTCAAAGCTGCTGTGTTTCGTGTGGTGAGTATAGAGGACAGAATACCCTATTTACCCTATATTATTTCTCTATCGAGGATAGATGTAGATGTTCATAAGCCACAGCACCCACTTACCATCAGGTGGACTGTGTGCTCGTTTGTCACCCTTATTCTATAAAAAAAAAAGAAATTGAGAAACACAACTAAAATCTTTCTAAAAATAAAAGAATTAAAAAGAGTTTAAGGTGTGTAAAAATTAAAGCCGAATTCTTACAATTATATCGCAGTTTTTAAATGATAGTGGCACCTTAGTCCCCACTCCCCACTAGCGACATTTAGTGAACGTAAGATTATTAAACCTCATGAATGTAAAAACATTTTGATATATCAGTGCTTCTTTCTTTGTTCATACATTGAACAGAAATGGTATGCTATTTCAATTAAAGCTTTGCACAATTTGTACAATTTTGCATATAAAAAGTTTGTGTTTTTTCTTTGATAGCTCATAACAATGGCGTTACCGACTGCTCACTCTTACGGACCTTGTCATGGTAACATGATGATGTTCCAGCAAACGCACAAGGGCTCCGAGCCGGTACTTGCACCCCAGCACGGTATCGGGGCTCAGTATTTGGAACCAGCGTCGTATATGGGAGCCGTGGGGGGTTCCTGCGATGTTGCCGATGCCTCTGCCCCCAATGCCCGTCGTAGTGTCCACAGATCAGGCGCAGATGCAGGTGAGTTCAGCGAAGATCATTATTATAATATATATATATATATATATATATATATATTTTATTTTTTTTTTTTTTACTTTTACTACATATTATTCTATTCAAATGCAATTATGAACAATCCATATCCGAAGAGAATATAATCATTGTTTTAAGGTGCGGTGGTAACAAGCTGTCTTACCAACATCATGACATGATGGCAAGCTATGTGCATTATTACAGTGCTGTAATTATCTAACTTCGAATGATTGAAATATTGTTTATCAATGTAATGCTTATCGATTTTATATAATAAAAGTTAAGTATCCTTATTGATTGATTTTTGCGAAATAAATAAAACATTATAAAAGTTTATATCATTACGTGGGATTTGAGTAAAATACCATTCAGGATAATAAATCAATGTATTTTATACACAGCTATTTGTTTTAAACTTTGTACTGTTACAATATTCGGAACAAAAATACGTATAAAAAACATATAAATGAATAATGAACAATTATGTTAATAATTAATTAGATGCATATGCATCTATATGACTTTATAATTAATGATATAATAAAAGACGAGCTTGAAGCGCAGTGGCTAATCGTTTACCTGCGACCAATAGATGTAGTATAGTATAGATTGGCGATGGACTATTAGGGTGAGACCTAATCAAAATACATCAGTGTGCGTGTAATGTGCATGTGTGGGGAAAAATAGTGCTGCAGCATGTATTGCCAGCCTCAACTTCAATTATCGATAACGGTGGCAGTATATTCGTGTCTTCTTATTTGACTCAGATGATGTAAGTGTATATTTTTACCCAACTATGACGAAGCCAAAAGGTTAGAAGGTAGCTATGTATTTTTATCCGTTCTCTCAGATCTTCTAAACTAATAAAAATACTCATTAGGTTTCTTTTGTGTCCTTTCGCGGGTTTTAAGCTGCATAGTCACATAAAAATTAACATAGCGGCTTATTGCGGACATAAAAATGAATTCAGATTCACTCATAATGGACAGAATATTCTTGACTACGTGATACCTACCATAAATTCTCTGAAAGAAATTGCGCTTCAAAATGTAATGCGTGTTATAATGTATATATTAATTAAACTGAAACTAAACTGCGATAGTAAAGTAAACGTGAACTAAAAAGGTTTAAAAAGGCAAAGATGTCAATTTTTTAGAATTAGAATGTAAAAATGTTGTGAGCTTTCTTTAAAGGTATTTTGCATAGATATTTACAATCCGACTTAACTGCGGACTTCGCTGGAATGCGACCACTCTCCCCCATAACCACGGCACCCCGTGCTCGCCATCCTGCGGTCAGTACCGATAGCATACTTGTTACCGTTGCTCGCGTCTGATTTCAATCATTCCATAATATTTCTGTTGAGTTTTTTGTTTTATTAAGTTTGTTAATTATTGTTGTTTAGTTTATTTTCTTTGTACGTTTTTACGGCTTTGTTTTAAATAAACAAAAAGATAACTGAACAAAGGGAATTAATAATTTCTCTTGTAGGTGAAGAAACCAGCTCTGAAGAAAAAAACAGCTCCAAAGACGAATCAGACAACATGTCGGAAATTGAAAAAATTGATTATAATAGTAGTGACGATAATTGAATATAAAAAAATTAATATTTTTTATATTTTGCTTGTTTATATTTATCTCTTCCAATTAACCAGTAATACACTAATTTGTATATTATTCTTAAATTTAATTTTTTGAAAAAAAAAACAAAAATATAAAATTTACTATAGAGCCTTAAAATATTATATAAGAAATAATTTTTTTTGCAAATGATACCATCAAGATGACGTCACAACGTGAAGTCCGCAGTTAAAGGTCGCTGCACCGTCTGTCCCGTGCACGTGCTGATTCCGTGATGTGTGCAGCGACCTTTAGTCGTACGGGCATATACATATTTTGTTACGTACTTTTTTCCAACAATAAAATAAGTTTTAATATGTTATTTTTTATAAGTGTTTATGGATGGGTGTGTTTTAGTTTTTTCCTTAATGCTCCTCTATGTTACTGTTACAGTCTATTAAAGTCCACTGCTGAACATAGGCCCCCATAGATTGCTTTATAGAGTGGAAATTTGCCATAGTTGATACGCTTGGTTTTATATTTTGTCTTGAAAACACTTTCTCCGTTATTTATTATTTTCAGCCAGAAGAATTTTTAGCTACGGAACCTTAAAATTAAAAAAAAATATTAATAAGTTGAATAAGGCTGCATGCTAGACGTATATGCTATGCATTTTATGGACATTTCGATAAGATATTATCGATAATGTCAATCTTTACAAATTGCGGTTAAAATTAACAAAATTTCATATATTTGTAGTGATTTTAAATTCAAATCCTTTACATTCAGATAATAATAATTACAAAATGTTATAATTTATCCTATCCATTTAAATATTAGTTATTAATACCGCTCTAAAACACAGCATTTAGATGATAAACATTTCAACCGTACTTACGGGTTAAATGTATAATAAGGTTGGATTTCTTTCTGCGGTGAGCTGTATTTTGGTACTACGTACCTAATCATAATTATTTATGTATATCAAGCATTAATTTTCACTTTAAAACCCGAGATTTTGCAAATACAGGCGGGATTTGTTTTGTCCACGAATGGCTCTAAGCCGATACCGGCCAATAGTGTGTACGTGAATGGTCTAGCCTATTTTTCTCGCTCTAATAGAGGCGTAAACTACACTCTTTCTCTTTCGCATCATCAATCTATTCTAACATCAGTTTATACTAAATCTATGGCTGGGACACTGCAGATCTTTGCGTTCGGTACCATACGGAACAAGTGTTTCTAAGCCCTAAAATAAATTTCTGGATCTAGATGTTTCTCCTTATGTAATTTATGTAGCTAAACTATTCTAGGTCTAACCCGTTTATATAAAGATTGCCCTCTTTTAATACGAGGTAATAAGTCCAAAGGAGAAAAGTCTTTGTAATTTTGATATTCGGTTGAGTCTTGTTTGTACTTTTCTTATGAACATTATATTTCTGTTTGATATCCGTTTTATGTTTTTTTTTAAATCAATAATCTATATTCGAAATGATTAACACAAAAAAATGCATTTAAAACACTGAGTGCACAATTAATTTTGAGTATCTAGTAACATTAAATACCAAAGGGGTCATACATAAATTACATCACACCTTAAGGGGGGGGGGGGCAACAATACGTGACATTGTTTGACAAGGGACAGAGGGGGGGAGGGGTTAAAACCTATGTGATGTCACATATTTTTTTATATGTAAACCAAACACACGAAATTTATATGCAAACCAAAACTTAAAAGTATTTTTGTGTTTTGTATTTTTTTACTAACATTATTAATCGTTCATCGTTCTTTAACTGGTATTTTGTGTTATCCATTATCTAAAACATTTGTCTTTATTTTGATTTTATTAAAGATTTGGACTTTGGACTGAATGAAATGGACTGCTGTTACTTTCATTACTTTTATATTTAATAGAAATATATAATTAAAATATGTGACATCATACCAGGGGAGGGCGAGGGGGTTTTACAAGTGTCAAAAACAATAAAGTTGATGTGACGTAATTTATGGTTGGACCCAAACCAGGGTTGTTTACTAAAATTTATCGAAATTGATATGAATTCCATACTTTAAAATGAATATCGAATATTGATATATCGTGATTAAAATTATCGACGATACATCTCGATGTTTTTGTGAGAAAATATCGATATTTTTTACTCAAGCCTAAAGGAGCTACTAATCTAAATAAAACTAGTTTTTACAGATTTTATCGTGTATATTAACTTACTTTATATTCCCGACGTTTCGAGTACTTACAGCACCCATAGTCATAGTTAACTACGGCTACCTCCAAATTAAAATTATTAATTTTTTTTTGTATTGTCCGCGTAAATATAAGAAACCATTGACTACGAATTTTTACAACAAATTTGAAAGCAATATCAATTATTGAAAAAAATTGGTTCGACCATGTCAGTGATTGACATATTACGAAAGAAATCAGAGAAATACTTCTGTAAGAGTAAGCAGGATAGAGATAGTTGCCATTAAAATTAGCATCCGTTTCGTACATTCATCTTTTACTAGGGAAGTTGCGCCAGCCAGTCTACCAGTCTAGATTAAAATATGAAGTTATAATTAATAATTTTATAATATTTTAACTGAATGCCAAGTTTCAAAACTTCAACATAACCACACAGTGGAATTCACTGTCGCTAGCGTTTTATCTGAACAGATACAACTTAGGGACCTTCAAGAAAAAAGCCTACTCTTTACCGATAGACCGGCTTTCAATTCTTCCGGTGTTACAGATGTTCATGGGCGACGGAGATCACTTACTATACAGGCGAGTCGTAGGCTCGTTTGCCTCCTCTTGAAAAAAAAAATGTAAGCACAGAAAACGCGCTCTCTTCAATCTAATTGAGAACCTTTACCATTTTGGTGTGGATAAAAAAATTAGTTTAACGTGTGCGTGGTGTCAATGTCTGTTCTTTCCCTTTTCATTTCATTTTTAATAAATACAATAATTTAATAGAACAAATAAATTTGGTGTATATTAAATTTAGTTTAAGAGATAACCAAGTTGACCAAAAATTGTTTATCTTTATAATCAATCAGGGAATCTTAAGATATGCGTGTGTGCGTGCGTTCGTGCGTGAAAACTTTAGCCTAAACTCGAATTTCATAAAAATTAATGAATTTTGAGCTTTATGTTTTTTTTTCTTGAAGGAAAATATTATATTCGCAAGGCAGTAAGAGTATATAATACTTATGTCTTTAGATGAACTGCAGATTTAAATTGTGCAATCAAAATTTAATATAGTTGTGAAAAGTCAAATATTGTATACTCTTTTAAGCAGGTTCGTTCAAGTACTTAGTAGTATTTTTTTAATAGTTTAACTATGTGCTGCTATGTTTTATCAATGGAATGGTATTGAACAAATAGCCAATAGCCGCGTCTACACCGTCCGAGCACGACTCTTGAGCGGTTAAAAATATGTGTTTCTCCATCGTATATCCGAGAGCAACTAAATAGACATGTGTCAATCACGAATGATTCGTTCGTTTCTGCTGTAACACAAAAGTGGTTCATTCATCTATTTTTGAATGTTTCGGTACCACCGTTCACAAACAATTGATGGAACCTTCTTAATTCGTGATTGGTGTGAATTGTGAATGAGTCGAAAACCCACCGAATCCCGAACGATCAGAATGAATAGGCGAATCGTATAAACAATGCGGATTATCAGAGTATGTGGAGTATTTATTATTTAGGAATTTTTTACTATAATATTGTTTCCAAAATTAAAAATTATTTTACATTTTATTATATTTATTTGTTACATCTATGAGTTAAAAATATCATTTCGTTGGTTTTACTAAAAATAACACTTCAAAAGATTTCATGGCAAATGATTTATTTAATATAATACTTTTCAACCACCTTATATAAATCTTAATATATATAAATTACGTGTCACGTTGTTTGTCCTCGATGGAATCCTAAACTACTTGTGCCGGACGGGCGAAACTCTCCGGAGTAAATGTTGTCGAAGATACTTCGCGAGTGGCTCACGTCCTACACCTATAGGTTCCGGTGGGTACTTTCACTGCCGTTTTTTTGTGTGCCGCTGAGATATTGTGGACTGAGGTTCAAATCAAAATGCACGATTAATAAATACAAATAGTAAGGTAGTGGCCAGCGGTTCGACTGATAATCAATCAGTCAGTCGCGAAACGTTATAACTATTTTTATTGACCACGGTTGTTGAACTACGGTTGTTAACTATTGGTTGGTCACTGTATATATCAAAAGATTTCTTTAAAATTGTACGGTAGTATCAAATATCTATTGGTAGTAGCTGGTTTTCTAACACTACTGACTAGCAGCTATTATCAACTAAACTAGCTGATTTTATCACTTGTGTAACTAATCAGTTACGACCTTTTTCGGCTAGCTAACACTTCCACTATATGTAAATGCGAATATTAGTTACGACCCTTTAATTTTTTCGGCTAGCTAACACTTTCACTATATGTAACTGCGAATATCAGTTACGACCTTTTTCGGCTAGCTAACACTCATTATATGTAACTGCGAATATCAATTACGACCTTTTTCGGCTAGCTAACACTTTCACTATGTGTAACTGCGAATATCAGTTACGACCTTTTTCGCCTAGCTAACACTTTCACTATTCACTATATACTGCTACTAGTCACTTCAGCTACCACCGGATACCACTGCTTGTCACTGGTAGTTCTTCACACTACTACTGGAACTGGGTGCCGAGCCCCTAAGGTAGACTTTGGCTATACTTTACAGTGAGCCGCTTGCCATTGTCCGTTTTGCTTCTTTATTGCATAAACTTTTCACTATGCAAATGGCATAAATTACAATATTTTCTATACAAAACTAATTGCTACACTAACATGCTATACATCAACAAATCGGTAGTCTGGTACTTTATTAGTATATCATAAAGGTTACTCAAAACATTAACATTGTAAAAAGTTATTAAATGAAATGTCCCAAATTTTCATAATATTTGGGTACATTAATTCTTTGATTTTTCTATAACTACGAAATGCGTTTAATTATACAAAATATTCCTACACTTCCTTAATCTATAAGCCATATGCTAATTCAATATCATATTTACAACTCTTTTAGAACATAAAATTATTTTCATTATTTTTAGTATGAACGAACACTCGGCGTCAAAAAAATCGCACATCCGAAAAAATAATTTAAATACTATTTTAACACAACAGGCCAATGGCAATGTCGTGGTTTAAGGGTATCATTCGAAAGGTAATTTCATTAGCTTTCAGGAATTTTAATTGAATTTTACCTTTATGACGAGACGAAAGAGAAATTAAAGAAAAAGACAGGGTATGTACAAATTTGCAAATTTATAATTTAAAAAAACTTAATAAATACAAAAAGTTCTTAAAACCTAGTGTTACCCCCCTTGCCTTGATAACGGCTTCCATGCGATCTTTCATGGACCTTACAAGGGTCGCAACAGCCTCTTGGGGTATTTGTTCCCACTCTTCAAGTACCGCATCTTGGAGCTCTTGAAGAGTGGTTGGAGCTGGATCTCGAGCTCGCACGCGCTGTTTTAGGTCATCCCAGAGATGTTCTATTGGGTTAAGGTCTGGACTTCGTGCTGGCCAATGCATAACAGGGATATCGACCTCCTGTAAATAATCCCATACAATAGCCGCGGCGTAGCAACGAGCATTATCATGCATTAACATGAATCCATCACCGAAATAACCAGCATACGGGACCACATGTTCCTCCAGGATTTCAGTAATGTATCGACCAGCATTTAATGACCCTTGCCCACGGCCACCCCGAGTCCGGGAAACGCACATAAGTTCCGTTTTCCCGTCGACGGAAATGCCGCCCCAAAACATACACGAGCCACCCCCGTATTCGACGGATTCTTCGAAGCAGGGTTGTGTGAACCTCTCCCCCTGTCTTCTGTAGACCCTTCTACGTCTGTCATTGCAGAAGAGACAGACCCTCGTCTCATCAGAGAAGAGCACGGTCCGCCACTGTTCTAGAGTCCACTCGCAATGATTGCGAGCAAACTCTAGGCGATCTCTGCGATGCTGTGCAGTAAGTTTTGGACCTTTAGCAGGTCTATGGGCTGTTAAACTCTTTTCGTGTAATCTTCTTCTTATCGTAGAAACACTCACAGATGTTCTCCGAGTTGATCGAAGCTGTTGTTGCAACTCAACAGCATTTGTAAAACGGTTTCGTAAAGATGTCGTAACGATGAAACGGTCATCTCTTTCTGATGTGCACCGTTTTCTTCCAGATCCCGTTTTCTAACATAACCACCAGTCTGCTGAAAACGTTGGAACACCCGTCGAACTGAAAAACGGGACAGGTTCTCCAGATCGACCCTTTTATACCCTTCTTAGGTGGTGTAACTAGCGTCCTTACTAACGAGCATTTGACAGTGTTTATTTTTGACGCTCTATAATGATAAATGTTTTAATGATTTCATAATTTTTTATTAATAATGTAAAGCTATTCAAATACCCATTTCAAACATACCAATATTTATATAAATATAATTCGTTTCTAACCATTACAGCCATTTTTCGCGCAAACTCAGAGAGGTGCGATTTTTGTGACGCTGAGTGTATTACGCAGTTAATTAAAAACTTCTAGAGAGTTCTACGATAAGACGCGCTGCGATTGGTCGATTTTTCTTAATATAATAAAAGTTGTTTATATCTATACAAATATACTAAGAGTTATAAACATGCTACACAACTATATTAATACACGTTTTCACCCAGTTTTGACGGTAATATCACTATTAATACAAAAAACAATATTCTTTATCATTTTGTTTCTTAGCGTTGTTATGCCGTCGCGAACACTACTTAACCGATTTTAATCGAATTTGCACACCGTGTGCAGTTTGGTTCAACTTGAGAGATAGGATAGTTTTTTGCCCATGAGTGACCCCAAATTTTTTTTGCGAATTTAAGGATTTTAATAGGACATGACAAAGGGTCGTCGAAAAGGGCAGAACAACGTCTGCCTGGCAACCTAGTAATATATATAAATTACGTGTCACGTTGTTTGTCCGCGATGGCCTCCGAAACTACTTAACCGATTTTAATCAAATTTGCACACCGTGTGCAGTTTGGTCCAACTTGAGAGATAGGATAGGTTTTATGCCCATGAGTGACGCACAATTTTTTTTTGAGAATTTAAGAATTTTTAATAGGACATGATAAAGGGTCGTCGAAAAAGGTAGAACAAAGTCTGCCGGGCAAAATAGTATAAGATAAAAGTATAATTTTGTAGCAAATAAACGTTACAATCTTTACTTTTAGACATGTAAAGCCTAAATTTTAGTATACTAAATCAAAATAATATTTTCTTTCCACTAAAATTGCTTTTCTTTATAATAAAAAGCGCCATCTACTTCGTTCTACAATTAAAGATTAAAGTCATTCTCATTTTATCGAAGTCGAACCAAAATTGATGAGGCTCTCAAGGTGGTACGTACAATAGTCGATAGATTGCCTAAACATAAAATATTTAATATCAATCAGTAAAATGAAATTGAGTATTGTTAAAAATAAATAAATTTATTAAATAAATAAAATATATAATAATATTGATTAAAGTTATCAATCAAATCAAATCAATTGAAGTTTTTGTGTATGCCATCTAGCGTCTTTTGTACTTACCACCTTGAAATTCAATAAATTTTTGTCATAGCATGTAGTAGATGGCGCTATTACAAAGTCAAATAGAAAATTTTCGGTTCTCAATGGATTTCACAGACTCACAGAGTACTGGAGCTCGAAATGATCCATTTGAATGATCGATCCGAATGTATCGGTACGCGTGACGTAATGTACTAGAATGATTCGGTCATTAGAAATGAATGATTGACACATGTCCGATGTGAGCCATTTAGCTCAAACTGGCTCACATTGGCTTGCGAGGCCCGCGCAAAAATTTTTCAAATTTGCCCCGGGTAGCACGGCTCGCGAGCAGGAAGTCCGTGGCTGCCTTGCGAGCCGTGCTTGGTCGGTGTGGACACGACTAATGACTATTTCATATTTAATTATTATTCTCTATGACTGGTAGAGAACATCATAACGCATTAAGTTCGCCCTTTATATTGCTATTGTATAAGTTATATAAATAAATAATACCTAAACTTGTGTGAATTTTTAAAAATTTGAATTCAAAAACTAGGGATATCTGAAATTAAATGCACCGTATGATGCTGACGTAAGACAAATTATTTCAATAATTATTGGTTGGTGTAAGAATCAATAAAGGGTAAATATTGCTAGATGATGGGTGCCACAATAACAACATTTAATATTGGACCGTCTTAAATATTAAATTTTGTTATTGTATTTATTTCTTTTATTAATCAGTGTTGCAACCAAAATGTAGCCAATATTTTGTAATCCGATTATTACTTTAATTTTTCCCAACTTTGAAGAAGACCCTGGCGTAAAATTAAACATATAGTACTGCTGCACTTAAAACGTTAAAAGAGGAAAAGTAAGCTATTTTCTTATGTGGTGGCATGTAATGAGCAACGGCAGGAGGGGGTTTCGTAAAAACTTGAAATACACCGGCTATTTTTAGTCTAATTAAAATTGTTTTACATAAGGATTAACAAAAGGAGAAAGCGGACTAAAATTGTTGATGTATTTTATGGGTCGTATCTGCCCAGTGAGGGACTTCTTCATCGTTTATTTTGACAGAGTATTTGACTTTATTTTTCATAAAACTTTAATTTTTTTTATAGAATAGGATGACAGACGAGCACACAGCCCACCTGATGGTAAGTGGTTGCTGTGGCCTATAGATATCTACATCTATTCTCGATTACGAATCAAAATGCAGATGCGTTGTCATCCGTGAGGACTTAGGTGGAATGCCTTGTTTCCAATAAAAAGGGTCTCCGGTTCTCTACACTCACCACACGAAACACAGCAGCATTAAGCTACTATTTGACGCTTGTATTCTGTAAGAGCGTGGTCTTTCCCGGTCGTGCCGACCCATTCGTGCTACTACTATACTATTAGTATACAACTATACTACTAATATAACTGCAGCATGGCTCTGCCAAGTAAAATAATAACAATAAATAAATGCTGACGTCCCAATATTCTTATAACAATAATAATGTCATTTCTTATATTTTTCTAGCTAGCGCCTTCTTCACTTATGTGGAATGTCTGGGGAGATATTACGTCTGCATAGTTCAGTATTGCAATACTTTTATTTTACAGTATGTCCAATTGTGTTTGGTTTTCTTGCATGTTCTTGCGTCCATAAAAAAATAAATCTTTTTTCTTTCGCCTGCCTGCTTCTGATCTGTCAGATCTTCACTAAGGTCAAAATAATAAGCAGCATGATTCTTCCAAAACATTTTCCTTTTGATTTCGCTTCTAAACGCCAAACGCATTCAAGTTACAGTCTAAACGATATCCTACAACCCCTTATTTTTTTAACATTATTTTTCTTATAAGTAGATTACCAGCGAACCATAAATCAGCAAAATTTTAGCCTAGTTTATTTTCGATCGCACGACATTTTTTTACGCATCTGATCGCATACAATTAAAAAAAAGTCAAATACCCTGTCACTCGCGAGATCATGTGCCGTTTGTGGTACAATGTGATGCGAGTTGGCGACGGCGGCAGGAGCAGCTGCAGCGCAAGCACGAGGAACTACAGCAGATGATCGTGCGCCAGCAGGAGGAACTGCGCCAAGTCAAGGAGCAACTTCTTCTCGCGAGACTGGGAATACTGCAGCCGTTGATCAATGTAAGTAACATAGTGTCACCCTTAGTTTCTTTCTTTGGTTATGGATTTGATCGATTATACTAAGTCCACTAAGTTATTTAATTTTTGATACATGTACATATACAAAAAATTTTTTGCACCGACTTAATTTTGTTAAAAAGATTTGTACTTAAATGTTGTCATTCCACATTCACTATAATTATTAAAATATATTGTTAAGGCATCACTCACCTTAAAAGCTAAAATCATTTGTAAAAACTAACAATATCAAAGCACTAACGATGATAATTCTAAAACAAACAACCTAAGCGTGGAAATTAATGCCGTGCGTATTCATTCTTAGTCTTGCAGTTGTATGCTTGGGTTGAGATTTAATTTTATTAATTATGGGTTCCCAACCAGATGGTAGTACCGAACCATCTTCTCTATTGAAATTGGGATGTATTTTAATTTCAAGTCTTGCAAATCATCCTTAAAAGGAATCGGTGTTCTTTAGCGAAGATTTGTGGTCTATCAAATCTAATGTAGTGACGGGGGCGATCCTGTACTTGTTCACAGACTGCAGACTTCTGACAGATGTGTTCTTTCACGCGGGTTTATAGTGATCTTTTAGTTTGTCCTATTTAACAGATACCACATTCTCCTTGCAGAGGGACTACCATTTGAATGGTGGTAGAAACTGACAAATTGTCTTTAGCGGCTTATAGTATGTTTTAATAAAAGCACGCTTCAAGATGTAACCAATCTTATCAATGACACCTCTGTCATAAGGCAGTACCTACAGTAAGCACACGCTCAACTGTGGCTGGCTTCACTCGTTGACTGTGACATAGGTGCGGGACCCGAAGCTTGTTGTCAAGCAAAACTTGCTTGACATGTTGGAGTCGGCGGCGGGGTGTTTACTGTCACAGATCCTTCGTGCTCTCTGAAACAAACATTTTATGAAAAGTTTAATTGACGAAATGGTTAACTAAATCTGGAGATAGAATACAATGCATAATATACAACCATTAGTCAATCGATTATAATATCTAAACAATAATAAAGAATTGGTTAATTTAAATTCCACTCGTATTATTAATCCTAAAGCTCCAAACATATAAGGCTGCAGAGTAGCATTATATGTGTGGCAATGCCTTATATGTTATAAGCAAAACGAAATTTTATCTTAATCTTATCTGTATTGTAGATATTATCTTACGATTTTGATTTGTTTATTTATTCAAACTGACAACTATCTAAATCGGAATTACCTAATGCGACAGTATAGTTCTTTTTATATCTAACAAAAATGTGATACTTAACTACAAATATGTTTAATATTTACCCTACCCTAGTGAATTTACTCAAAGTGCAATAGAACAGTTCAATATCTTAAGCCATCCTATCAAGAATGCGCAACATTCGTGCTACGAACCCGTTTGGAACACACAGTCCAGTCCGCCCTAATAATGTCACTAAATATTATATATTTTTTCCTTTAAGCAGTTTAAAAATAGACGCAGTTAAAAATATATACTACTATATTCGTGACTTGTATTGTAAAGACTGACAGACGAGTCCGAAATCGTAAATCTAGGACAGTAGCTAACTTCAAAAAAAAGAGGACTATAGTTGCATTATCAAGTCAGAGGACTAAGATGGAATTCTTAATATCCTGATTTATTTCTAGGCTCTTCTTCTGACTATTTAATTGTTATTATAATGCTACTGATAATTAGTAATTAATTGTTAACCTCATTACTATATTTCTTTAACACTTACCATATAGATATAAACAAAAACATCAATCGATGATATCAAAGAACTGTCCAATAATTGCTCAACCTTTATAAGGTGCAAAGGACGTAGTGTTGCAATACGTTCTTTATAGTGAACTCTTTATAGTAACAAAAAAAAAACTATCACACTTCATAAAAAGATAGTGTCTTTAAAAATTCTTTCTGTATTGTAGAGACGTTGGCAAAAACAAATTGCACATTTATTACAGCCCTTCATAAGTCCACAGCTGAACATATATATACCACTTTTTACATAATTGACTTTAAGTTAAAGAACTAAAAATACTACAGCTGTTAATAGGTAGATAATAATTTGTTGTCTTTTTTATTTATTACCAGCGCTTGACTACGACGCTACGATTCTAAGCAGTGAAGAAGCTTTTGAAGCCTTGTTGAAGGCACCCAGAATGTAATCGGACAGTACGACATGGCCATGCAATATAATATATCCGAAATTCCAATAATATGGCTTAGTTCGAATGCGTGGAATATGGAAACGAAGGGGTATCCACCGTAGAGACTCGCCGACTGTCTATTTTTTTTTAATAGAATAAGGGTGACAAACGAGCACACAGTCCACCTGATGGTAAGTGGGTGCTGTGGCTTATGAACATCTACATCTATCCTCAATTGAGAATCGAAATGCAGATGCGTTGTACCTGAGTACTGAGATGGAATGCCTCGTTTCTAGAAAAAGGGTCTCTGGTTCTCTACACTCACCATAAGAAACACAGTAGCAATTAGCTGCTATTTCACGCTGGTATTCTGTGAGAGCGTGGTCCTACCCCGGTCGAGCCAAACCATTCGTGCTACAACCATAATATAGCTGCAGCGTAGCTCTACCACATAAAAAACGGTCTGATTTTACGATGGTGAAAAGGGGAGGGAGATTTAATCATGTACATTGAATAGAACACTAAAATGCTGACATGATTGGTGAGTGTAATGGTGAGGTGAGAAATCACGTAAAATAAATGCGTTCGGTTTCTTTGTTTTAATTATATTATCTGTATACACGTAATTTAAATGTAGTGTTCTATTTTTTGCTTGTATATTCTTGTTTTTATTGAAGTTATGAAATTTTATAATAAACTACTTTTTCATTGACTAGGTTCCAAACACTTACGTGGCACCCGAAGAGGTTCAACAAAATCAACGCTTACCGACACAAGTACTATACGACAGTTCCCAAGGCCGCACCATACCTGGATATCCACAGCAACATCCCCCACCTTCCACGGGACACCATCAACATTTGCCCCAGTAGAGGATCTTAACAGGTCTTAATTTTCAAACAACTACAGCAGATCCTTTGAAATCAAACTTTCATTGCTTTAATGAACGTTTATAACTTAATCCAATGATGCTGGTCTCATATGCGCCTTGCTTAAGTAATGGCTTTAGGGAATAAAGTATTAGTTTGGTTGAAATTTATGCTATACCAAAAATATGTAGCGTGAAAACTTTTTATATGTATGTTTACCAAGGAGTTACCTTCGTAGCACAAGTTAATGTACGTCGTTTAAGACGGATTAAACGTGCCATTGCCATTTAGGGCTTAAGCGTCAAACGCATAGACTAAGTCCCTGTTTTAATTTATAGTTACTAGAAGTATTAAAATCGGTTTCAGTTATAAGCTAACGAGTTAAAGAACATCGCTAAATTGACGTAAACTATTGTTGCACCGTAATTGAATAGCCTAAAAATTTTTTAATGTGTAAAAGTACGATGTTTTATCCTTAAATGTACATTTAAAAAGATGTGCAAACAATTTTTTATGACAATGTAAACCGAATTTATTTTTTATGTGAGTTATAAATTTATTCATTAAAAAATCTGCTTAATTGATATTTGTCATATCAGTGTTACAGAAAATTAAAAAGGGATAAGTGTTCCTAGTTTAAACTACATATTACGTTGTAAAAATTGCAGCTATGGTTCTTGCCTCAGATACGATAGTTTTTGAATATCAAGAAAAAATATGTAAATTTTAGATTACCTACTTCCAACCATATTAGAAACCATAGAAACTTTATTTATTCCGACAACTTTATATTCACACATAAGGTTTTGTTAATAACATAATGCATTGTTTTATTTAATGCTAAAATAATTTTAAGTACTTACAACTTGCGGAAAGAAAGTCTAGCGGTGACCGTTATTACGCATAATTGGCCGTATTACGCATTATTGGCTGTGTGTATCGTTCGCACGCGTTGATTGGCCCTCCAGTCGTATTCCGTCCTCCGTACTGATACAACATGTGCAGCTATCGCCTCCACATTTCATTCAGCGCTAGAGCTATGTGCCGCGAGTTGTACAAAGCTATTCAAATAAGAATAGGGAACGTTAGTGACCTCGATGACCGCGATCTGTCTGAAAAGTACGGTTTGCAAAGGAAATTAAATATTTTAATCTATTGAACTCTAAAGTTATTTTTGTAAATTAATTTAAAATATTAATACTAGTCGGTGGAATATTTTAAATACCCACATAAATCCATGTTCTGTTTTTATGAGGCAAAGCAGCAGTGATGTTAATGATGACAATGATGACTACTCAGACAAAGATGTAAATAAATATTATTTCATAAAATATATATTTTGCTCACCCTACCCAACTGGTTTGAATTGATAGCTATGAAGTCACAATATGGTGCCAGGTCAATCCTCTTCTTATTTGAATCGCGTAGTAAAACTACTAAATCCAGTTTATATTTTCTATGAATAGAAAATATTTATTAAAAATAAGTTATGTTTTATAAGTTCATTTCAGACATATTTTTACATGTTTGTTATTTCTATTATTTTTGTTCAAAATTTATTACTGTTACTTTCGCATTTTTTTTAGATTATAACGGTTAAAAAAGCATGCATTTGTTTATTAAAGTTATGTAATATGTCAATTTAATTTTGTTGTTGTTTTTAAATTATTGTAAATGGATAGTTTTTTTTACGAAATTTTGTGTATAGTTATAATACATTACAATCGTAAAAAATCGTAATGAATTCTTAGGTTGGCTTTAACAGTGTGAGTGATTGTGGACGATACCACAGATAGGTGTCGACTATGGACAACCACGCACCGCATCGATGCTAATCTAACGGTGCGTATCGTAACGTCTGTGTGGGACTGAGACTCGAAGCCATTTTGACATTTTGAAATTCCTGATGAAAGAGAACGTAGCATTACTTAGTCAAAGTCATTAATATTATTAGAAAAAAAAATTAGAGCATTCGTGGATGAAAACTAATTTTACGGATTTAATTGCGTTTAATTTATAATATTTGCCGTTTCGGGGTTCTCCAAATCAGGCTTAAATCATTGCCGGAACTGTGCCTGTCCCTTAAGGAGAAAATTAGGGCTGCAAGAAATTTGAAGGATAACACGTAACGATATATTGCTGATGCGATGTGCCTGAACGACCGAGGCATCTCAGAGAGACTACGACTGTAGTTCGAACTTATTATAGCTAAGGAAAATTGGGTAATTCGTGGTCATCATCATCATATTCATCATTATGTATTCCTCTTATTTCTCCCCTAACACTGCTTGTGGCTATATCTGTGTTTTACTTTTATTTTTATATTCCTTAAACTTGACTTCTGGGTGTCTAATAACGACGGTCTTACTAGACAACTTTAATAATTAAGGCTTCTAGTATTTACATTGCTAAATTAATCAAACAAGAAAACAATTAGGAACATAACAGACCTATAAATAAATTGTACCGTAAAAATATTTGTTTTAGTGTCTCTAAGGCAGAGAGAGTGAAAACAGCAATATGTTTGCTTAAACGCCGTGCCGCTCGGCCGAGATATCCTTTTAAGACGAGGCATGACGCTAAACGCAAGTTTTATAATGCCTCAAAGTGTACGATCCACTGCAGTAAACAAACCCAGAAAAATATATCATATTTTCCTTGATATATGCTAGTTAGATAGTGTGTTGAAAATATGATACTACTAATTTAATACGACAGAAAAAAATCACAAAAATACCTCTAAAAATTACTTTTAACAAGTAAAAACCATACTAGTATACATGCAATCATTCTGATTTTTTGTCAAATTTTTATACATTCAACATATTAACGTTATAGTGTTTTAATTTTTTAGTCAAACTAATTTTGTTTTTAAGTCGCATATTCTTATTTCTGAAATAATACGTACTGTTGTTTGCGTAAACGCCTGTGCAGAGTCACTATCGGCCGAGGCCTGGTGCTGTAGAGACGTGTCGCTTTTTTTGCCGCAGTATTTACGTTAAGATTTTTTAAGGAAGCGTTTACAAAATTGATATAGGTATAGAATCGAACTATTACATTGACACGGGTCACGCACACAAGTGTACGCACGGTTGGCTGCGGGAATCGTAGTCAAATAAAATTATCATTTGAAAGATCGAATTTGTTTTTGATTTCTTATACCTCAAAAATATATATACTTAGATACATAGAGTCATCATCATCATTACAGCCCTTTACAAGTCCACTACTGAACATAGGCCTCCCCCAAGGTATGCCACAAAGCACGGTCCTGAGCCACCTGCATCCATCGACTTCCTGCATGTCTTACCAGGTCGTCACTCCATCTAGTGGGGGGTCGATACATAGACATACATAGATACATAGAGTAATTAGACTTAAATACGAAATACGAATACCTACTCTAGAGACTGCTTGGCACTGGGAGCCCTCTACTGCCCGTGAGATGTTAGCTGTGGACTTTGGGCTGGTTTTGTCAGTTATGTTAAGACCTTACCTCCGGACTTGATAGAGTGACCTGAAGGTGAACTTCAGTAACTAATACCGGAACACCTGGACTAGTAGAACTAGGTGTATCGAGTTTGGGCTCGTTTTGTTAGGTATGATGAGTCCTACCTCCGGACTTGACGGAGTGATCTGAACGTGTACTTTGGTAATCGCTATTGGAACTGGTCGCCGAGTACTACTAGATGTGCCGAGTTTGGGCTCCTTTTGTTAGGTATGATGAGTCCTTACCTCCGGACTTGACGGAGTGATCTGAAGGTGTACTTTGGTAATTGCTATTGGAACTGGTCGCCGAGTACTAGTAGGTGTACCGAGTTTGGGCTCGTTTCGTTAGGTATGATGAGTCCTTACCTCCGGAATTGACGGAGTGACCTGAAGGTGTACTTTGGTTTTCGCTATTGGAACTGGTCGCGTACCTAGTGCCGCGTACGCGGTGTACCTGATTACCAAAGTACACCTTCAGGTCACTCCGTCAAGTCCGGAGGTAAGGAATAAGTCAAAATTTTTTGACCTTTTAACAACTAGAATAAAGTACACCCTTGGTGATGTAACTTTTATTTTACTTTAAATGGGACCACCTTCGAGATATAGCACATTAAATTTAATAAAAAAAGAATCATTAGAATCGCTTTACTATTGATGAAGATATCGCGTAACGTATAAACCAAAAAAATTGTCTAATTAAGGAATTCCACCTTATGCTGACTAAATATTTTTGTAAATCTTCATTAAAATAACTAATGTGGCAAAATTAGCTCTTAAAATGTACTTATTATATAATAACTCTTTGGCTTGGTTGTGAGAGTACCGTTTGTACAGGCACTATTATCTGCTTGCCGTAATGATCTAGATGTAGGTAAAGTTAAATATTACTTTGTATACAAAAAAATCGATATTTAATAACGTCATATCGTAGAGTCGCTGTAAAAGTTTTTGGATTTATTCGTCATATTAACTCAGATTTTGTTATGGTCCTCACCGATAAAATACTTTTGGATCGATTTTCGTTTTCGGATAGTTTTGTTTGTGGTATTCTGATAGATAAGTAGTATTGCTTTACAAGATGTGGCTGCTTGACTAATATTTTTTTTTTGCTGTGAGTAGCATTAAACCTATAAAACTTTTGCCAATATTAACACGGAGGGAAAAATAAAATACTGTATTATTGTAAACTGAATTCTTATAGGTAGTTTAGTGTGAAACTAGAATTTGTTTATTTATATCAATTTAAATTAATAAGCTCTTGTCGTTACCGATACTTTTTGATGAAATTGTCAGTTGCTATGTTCTTACAGTAAGATGTTTAGTACCTGTTTATTAAATAAGAAAAAAACTAATTAGCTAAAGTTCGCGTGCAAAATAAATTGGCGTGTATAACCTAGTTAGAAGAGCGCCACCCTCCCGTAATTGCATGCACTATCATCACCACCACTAAACATAAAGCAGGCACATACAATAAAACACCACCGTGAAAACATGATACGTGTTCCGCCTATAAA